TTCCTGAAACCATATTGTTTATTGGAGAGTAGGTTGTTTGTCTCTAAGTGGAGGATAATGGATTGGTTAATAATTGATTCCATGACTTTACAGGTGACGCAGCATAAGGAGATTGGTCTGTAATCTTCAACTAGGCTGGGGTCTCCCTTTTTGAAGATGGGGATGACCGTGGCTTGTGACCATAGGTTAGGCAAGGAGCTGGTCCTGAAAGATTTTTCAAAGATTATGCTTAGAGATTCGGCTATGGCAGTGGATAGCTTTTTTAAGAAATAGGCACATATTCCATCCGGTCCAATAGATAGAGATGGTTTTAGATTGCGTAGTGCTTTTTCAACATTGTCTTCTGTAAAATCAATATGTATTAGATCATTGTAGTTGTCTGTGGTTCGGCTAGGAAATACTGGGCATGATCCATTGCTGTTTACAAATACTGAGCCGAAGAATGTGTTAAAGATGTTGGCTTTAATGGTGTCGTCGTTGCAGTCTTTACCATTAGGTCCTATCAGGGGTGGGATGGACCTTGAGTCTTTTAGTTGTTTACAAAATTGTAAAAAGCTCGGGTGGAATTGGTGCATAGAAGCTTTTCCTCTTGTTTAATGTGATAATTGGTGCATTCAGTCTTTATCTGGTGGCATACATTTTTGTATTGGCTTTTGAAATTGGCAACGTGACCAGATTTGTTTTTCCGCCAGAGTGATCTCTTTTTGGATTGAAGTTTCCTTATTGTTTTGGGTAATCTGTTTTTTTTTTGTTTTGTTTTGGGAGTTGTTGGTACATATAGTTTGATGACTCTTTTGACTTCAAGTAAAAATATGTTGTAATAGTCTTCAACAGTATTGCATCCAGTGAATAGAGATTGCCAATCAAGGGATGAGAGATCGTTGTCTATAAGATCATAGTTGCCTTTTTTGAAGTTATAATTGGGGATTACGTCATTGTGATGATTTTTGTTTGAGCGTATGTTGAGACAAAAGTCAATCATATTGTCACTGCTGGAAAAGGGTTCTTTAGTTTGTATTCCGTAAATTAAATTCAAAGTATTGCAGAAGATGAGATCGAGGTAATTGTTTAGTCTAGTGTTGTTGGTTACTAGTTGTTCCAGTCCCAGATTTGTAACAGCATTGTAGAAGGTTGCGTGTATGGGATCAGTTGTACATTCATTTAGGACCCAGTCAATATGAGGTAGATTGAAGTCACCAAGAAAGATAAAAGCATGTGGGCAGGATGCTGCCCATGTTAGTAGTGTATTTAGCTTGTTTACATGTTCGATGTCATAATCAGGTGCTATGTATGTGCATGATTAATTTGAAAATATGCTAATTAGTAATCTGGTCTAGTGTTTCAATATTTGTTCATAATTACAGATTGGACATGTGTAAAAATGTCCTTTTGGGGGAAGTTATTACTTCTCTCTCTTTTGACATTCTTTCTCTGATAAATAAGCAGTGTTTAGACACCACAAAGGAAAGCAATTGGCTTATTTCTAACTGTGGTTCTTTATTAACAAATTCATTCCAAGTTTACATTGTCTATTATAAAGAACTGAAAATAGTCCACTTCTCTGAAGTTTGTTTCTGTGTAGCTTTTCTTGATCACTATAGCTTTCCATGGAAACTAATTGGGGAAGTATGGGAATTTCAATATTGGACATATGCAGGTAGAATAGAAGGAAAGGTCCCTATTAAATTCCTGCTTTTGGAATTTTCTTAATGAGACTTTAGACAAATGCAGAAAGCCATATATATATATGACTACATAGATAATTACTAAAAGAATAATAACTATTCGTAAAACTTGTTTTTCTGGATCTTTTCCCCTATGGTAAAATAATCCCGAGAATCTTTCCCCTCTATTTGTTTTTTATTGCTAAAAAACACAAATATAGCATACCCTGTTAATCTGAAAGTTGAGATTGGTTACAGTACTTCATAACTTAGTTTTTAACAGCAGCACTGAAAGGATTTAGCACACAGGAAAGAAGTGTTCCATATGGAAGAATGGGCGTTGGTTCTTACCTGACACGCCATTTCTCTGAGGCCGTGAGGATCATCCAGCCCCACCCTTTAGATTTGCCGTCTGGTGGGAACTTGTTTCGGCCAATGAACTCTTTAGCATAGGAGGATGGGAGAACGACCTTCCTTCGCTCTCGTCTTCGCGCAAACTGGGGAACGCAAGGGAGCCACGTGACGGAGGGCGGAGCGTTCCTCAGTAATTAAGCTCAGCCTACAACGACGCAGACTGGAGCACCTCCCACACACTGGATGATCCGAACGGCTCTCAGGAGAACTTAGTAGTTTTTATAATAGTATTTTAGATCAGTATTGTGTTCCTTCTGGTTAACATCTTTTAATATATGTTAAATCCTATGTATATACTGTATTTTGATGTGTGCATATATGTAAAAGAGGGCAAGATCCCAATGTGTTAAAATCTGCACCTAGCAATTTTTTATTAGAACATAGCACATTGGAACATATTTTTAATAATTGTTGTAGTGTGTTTGCATCTAGAGTTCCTTTGTTTTTTCATGATTCCCTATAGTTTACTACCCTTTAGCCAAGTTTATTTTATTTATTTATTTATTTATTTGATTTGCCAATTGTTTACAAGATAATAAGTATAAGTGTATACATAGTTGTGAATACATGAAATGGGTACATATAAGAAAAATAAAAGAATAAGAGAAACAATAGGACAGGGACGGTAGGCACGATGGTGCGCTTATGCACGCCCCCTACAGACCTCTTAGGAAAGGGGTGAGGTCAATAGTAGACAGTCTAAGGTTAAAGTTTTTGGGAAAGTTAGGAGGCCTTCCTGATATTGCATCTGTTATGTGAGCTACAGTATTGTTGTTTCCGGAATTGGAATTTAAATTCAACAATTAGCAAACAACACTCTTAGCCTCAGGTAAATTTCCAAATGTGGTTAAAAACTATTCTCTTCCTCTTACAACAGCTGGTGGTGCATCTAATCCCATTTAACCTTTTATAGGGGAGTAGCATGTCATGTGAACCAATCAGCTAATGTAGTTGACGCATAGCTCTGTCCTTTTTCTTTAACTAGTTTCTGTTATTGTATCTGTCTAACATAGTAACAGAGATAATATTTGTGATCTGGCCAGTAAAGTTATAAGTGTTTGTCATATTATTCCTAACAGTAGTGTAAAGGTTACAAAACTTTATTAACTTAATAAGAACCCACTGCCATAATGTATATTGGCATATACATTAAATATATAAGTTATCAAATGGTAGACAGGTTAAGTAGACAGGTTAAATCTCTCACTTGGCTATTTCCCAGCTGTGTTATTCCTGAACTTCTGCTAGGGAAATTAGATCTGATTTTTTTTTGTTTCTTTCTCTTTCCCTTGCTTTTCATATTACCACCTGCTGTGATGAAGCAGGCTGGAGAATCTTAAAGCTTCTGGCATTTGAATTAATATTGATTTTTTTAAAAAAAAATAATAATAATTTTTTCTATCTTTGAGATTATTTGTGAAATAAGCAAAGCAATTTTCACTGCTCTGAAGGAGGTTTAATTTGTGTTTGGAAGAATGTGTGACTTGGATTTATTACAATATATAATATGTTTTTTTGTTCTGCAAACTCATCATAAAAGAACTAGAAAAAGTAAGATTTAGTAATGTTTTGTTATTGCCACTTTATTCCAATAATTGATTGGACTAAAATATTGTATTCATGCTTACTAAAAAGATCCAGTAAACAAAACTTTGTTTACTGGATCTCAGTATAATGGATTTTGCATGTAACACACCAGATTTCTATTGTGATTTGCCCCCTTTGTGCAATAACACAATTACACAAAATATGCAAACTGGCAAAAATAATGTAAATCCTTATAATGCTCTAATTCCAATTTCAGCAGACTTTTCTTGGTATTGCATAAGCTCTCGCCCCAATAAGTCTGTTAAAGTGAGGTTTCATTGCAAACATAAAACAGACATGCTCTCTGCATTTCTCCAGTGAGCTAAAAAAATATTTGACATAGCTCAGTTAAGTTAAATGTAGGAGACAAAATCTGGAGCCATTTATGTCCAAAGTTTGACTCTTAGATCTGTACAGAATGTTATGCATATTGAACTGAATCTCACTTTGACAAAATAAGTCACAAAGTGAAAAGTTTTTAACAATATTATTCCATTTTTATAATCTGTATATGTGTTCCATATATACACAATGTCATATTCATTTTATTAACTTAGTAAAATGTTATATATTTAATCAGATAATGATAGAAAATCTCTGAAAATATTTTGCAAAAGGAATAATCAGTTATTTAATAGTGATAATGGCAGGACCAACGTAATAAAAATAAATTCCCAGTTACTTAGCATGTTTACACATTTCTGTATTTATCTGAAGCTCTTTACAGATGCATAAACTTTAAAATAGATTTTTGTAATTTAAGAAAGGTTCCATGGATTTCAGTAGCTTATAATTAAGAATTTTAGCTGGCTGCCCGCCTATACTGTTATGTACTTATCCCACTGACTTATGAAAGTATGCCAGAGTTCAGACAACCTTATTTTTAGGTTGTATCATTGACATCATTTAAAAACAAGCAATCATATATTTAAAGTAAATAAAATTACAGAAGAAATAAGTTGATGATTGGTTTATGATTCATCATGAAATTAAGAAATAAGAGGATAAATGGGGACAATATAAATGGTTTTTATATATAGGTTTCCAGAAAAATATAATTTTTAGATACAGTGATTAGTTTAAAATCATAAAACTTACTCATTGAAGTATGAATTCCAAATTTTGCTGACATTTCTGGGTTTTGTTGTGTTTTACTCAACTAGCTAATTTAAATTTTTTGTATCAGGTGTTTGTGAACATTCCCAAATACTCTTGTCTTTAAAAAGAAAGCATTAGACAACACTTTGGAAATGTGTATTTATGTTAAATAGATCTTTTATTTGTTTTTTCCCCATAGTTTATTAACTTTTAAAGAAAATCAATCAATCAGTAAAAATGACAACTTCATGGAGTGACCGGCTACAAAATGCAGCAGATCTTCCTGCAAACATGGATGGCCATGCTCTGAAAAAGTACCGGCGGGAAGCATATCACCGGTAAGCTATTTCTACAGTTAGAAGCATTTCTTTACTATACTGAAGAAAAACTAAAATCCTAAATACCACATACGTACAGATCTATTCGTTCACATAGCCTATTTTTAAGAAAGCAATTAGCATCCTTGAATGTTGCTAAAACTTGATTATGGGTTGAATGAGAGAAAATAAATGAAATTGCATCCAGACAAGATGGAGGTGCTGAAAGTTAACAAGAAGCTGGATTTGTTTTTATGTAGTTGCATTTCCCCAAAAAGAGCAGATTGGAATTTGCGAGTACTTCATGGACTTGGTGATAGTTATCCATAATCCTGGTTAATTCTCATCTTGACTACTGCAACATACAAGATGCTGAGACTCTAGAAAAAGTACAGAGAAGAGCAACTAGGATGATTAGGGGACTGGAGACTAAAACATATGAAGGAGACTAAAACACTTTATACAAGACTGTCCCTGAAAGTTGCAGTAACTAGATTACTGACAGGTGCAAGGTACAGAGAGAGATGATGCCTGTACTAAAATATCTCACTGATTGCCAGTTGCCTACTGTCAGAGCTTAAGGCGATGATGTTAACACTTAAAGTCTTAAGCATCCTAAGGGGGCCTATCTGGGGGAACACAGTCCTATTACAAATCTCTTGATTACTTAGATGAGCAGAATCTCCTATTCTCAGGTTCTGCTTTTTTTCTGGATTGCTTCCCACTGTGGATTGCTTCTCACTGTGCAACAGTTTTGATCAAGCAAAGCTTTATTATAGCAACTGCTGTTGTGACTTTTGCAGATCTATTGGTAGAAGTTTGAAGAAAGGCAGATAGAATCCTAGGTGACAGTTTGCATAAATTTCCCTTTAGTTTTTTTTTTTTAACAAGGGAGGATAGATGCTATTGATTTATTCTCTCCCCAAATGATAGATAACTGAATTATGAAAAGCTTAAGATAAATTGAGACTGTAATGTATGGTTCTGAAACATTAACAAACAGGGAGAAGATATAAGAAGTAAGACAAAGTTATGGTATATCATAAATATACTTTGTTAGAATAGAAGAAAAACAACCAGATTGAAACTACAACAAGTGATAATGAAGAAACAGTTCAATTTGTTTGTCATTCCTATCCTATTTTAGCCTGTTCTAAATTTCAAAAATAGTGTAACCATCCTTGGATGAAGGAAAAATTAATCAGACTTGGTGGATGCAAAGGAAACTATTTTTTCAAGCTGTGCTTAGTCAATGCCACCAATGTCAAGGCAACTCTCGTTGTAGCACATTGCTAAACATTCCATAAATGTTTTACAAATATAGATAATAGGCAGCTTATACTGGGGGGGGGGGGGAATCAAACAGTTATCCAAAGCCAGTAATTTTTTGTGCTACATATAATATTGAATAAGTACTAAATGAATGAAAAAAAACCTTGAGACAAAATGCAGTGTTAATTTTACAACTTAATTATAATAACATTATTTTTAAACTGTCCAGAATTGCTGTGAGTTGGGCAGCATATATAGATAGCCCTCGACTTACTACAGTTCATTTAGTGATTGATCAAAGTTACAATAGCACTGAAAAAAGTTACATGACTGTTTTTCAGTTACACCCTTTCCATGGTTACATAATCAAAATTCAGATGTTTGGGCAGTGGTTCATATGCAGATAATCAGAGTTGGAAGGGACCTTGTAGGTCATCTAGTACAACCCCCCGCCCAAGCGGGAGACCCTACACCATTTCTGATAAATGGCAGTCCAATCTCTTCTTGAAAGCCTCAACTGATGGCGCTCCCACAACTTCCAAGGGCAAGCTGTTCCATTGGATGATTGTTCTCACTGTCAGAAAGTTTCTCCTTGTTTCCAGGTTAAATTGAGTCAATTCTATATCTCTGTTCTTGCCATGTGAACATTAAACCTTTTGGAATCAGCCATCTATAATTCACCTCTTTTTTAAGTAGCAATTTGGTCAAGAATCGGTATTCTCTTCTCATCTCTCTCACTCTTCTGGGTACTTGTTTCAAGACCACAATCTTCTTATCTTTGTATTTCAATGTTTTCTCTCTTGCCCCTTGCAATATTTGTGTTTTAATGGCTTTCTTTGTAAATCTGATGTGAACTTCTCTTGGTAAGCTATTTCTTATCGCATATCTTGTGAAGACTCAATCAACCTCATCTATTCCATCCATCATCTTCTCTTCAGTTATTTCCAAAGCTTCAGCCAATATTTCTATCATTATCTCAGCTAGATTTTGTCCTTTTTCTTCCTCTATGTTTTGGAATCTAACATAAAATTCTGATCTGTCCATCTCCCATCTCAGCATACCACTTTTATCTTGTTCAACCACAGTTAATCTGTTATCAATGTCTCCAGTCTTCTTGTCTCTTTGTTTATCTTCTTCAAGTTTTTGGAGTCTCTCATCATACTTCATCATTATTTGTTGGATGTTCTCCACTTTTTCATCGGTTTTCCCTGTTCTTTGTTCAATGTTCTCTGTTCTTTGTTCAGTGTTCTCTATTCTCTTTTCAATATTCTCTGATCTTGTTTGAATATTTTGAATTCCTTGCATAATCATCTGCAGGGTCACTTTTTCTTGTTCTTTTTCTTGCCTTAATATTGTCTGTATTGAACGTTGTCCTCCAGATGGTGGAGAGGAAGAAGTGGAAGTTGAAGAACCAGGAGCTGTTAATTTCCTACTCATTTTGAGGAGTTCAAAATCTTCAGGTTCTTCTAGACCTTAATCCAGTTGTAAAATAACCAATTGCAGTTCCAAATAAAAATAGGAAAAAAATAGGAGAATAGTAAGAAAAGAGAAGCCAAATAGTAATAATAATAGAAAAAGAAGAAAAAATTTCTTCAGGTTCTTGTATACCTTAATCCAATCGGTTGGTTAGATGACAGTAAAAATTCAAAAATTAAGGATAAGACCATGAACACACACAAAAAGAAAAAGTTGTAAAATCCTAAAAAAGGCGAAAAAGTGAAGAAAAAGGCTAAAAAAGAAAGGAAAAATTCTTCAGGTTCTTCAACACCTTAATCCAATTAAGAGGTCTCAAATATAAAAGTATACATAAAAATAAACCAAGAAAAAGAAAAAAAAAACCAAAATGGAAGGTAAGTGGAAAGACAAAAATACCAGGAAGGGAAAGAGAAGAAAAAGGCTACTCCCTTAAAAAGAAAAGGAAGGGAAGCATTAATACTAAAGCTTTTCCTTTAAAATAAAAAGCAGACGTAAAAGTTTAACTTCCAAAGACAAGAAAAAAGAAAAGAAACAAAGACAAGTTCCAGAGAGCCAAAAATCCAAATAGCTATTGCAAAAAAAAAAAGTAAGCTGATGAGGAGGGGTAGCACAGCTTAAAAAGAATAAAAAGAGCACACTGCACTTTATTTGATTATCCAAGGCTCTTGTTATAACTCTCTTCTCCAAAGACTTATCACCTTTTCTTTTCCTAAGCTTCAACACCAGACTCCAGCTATTGATAGACACCCAGAAGAGCACCTGTAATAATACTCTCCCGTGCTCTTCCCTCTATCTTATCAAACAGGCAATGTCCTTGAAACAAAGTCTCAGTTCTTTCTCAGCTTTGTCTGGTCAAAAGAAAAATAGAATATTTCCAAGCCTCTAGTTGGCAGTGTTACAAAGTTTCTTTAACTTTCACTTTCCCCCTCCTTTTCCAAGCAAAATATAATAAGAATTAATTAAAAAAAGAAAGAAAAAGACATTTAAAAAATAACTAAAAGGGAGTCTCTGGCTTAAAATATTATAAAATCAAAAAGGAGAGAAGAACATATAAAAAGAAGAAGAAGAAGAAAAACCAGTCCAGTTTCAAAATATAAGATCATGTGTAGAAAATCCAGCAATGAGAAAAAATATATATATATTACTTTGACATTCCTGTTTAAAATCGCCACTTAATCACTTCTGTCAAAACTTTTACAGATTCTTTCTTTCCCTTAGGGTGTCCTTTCAAGTCATAAAATAAAGAAAAAGTTCTCACCAAAGCGGCACACTCTCCCTTTCCATTCTCTTTCGTATCGGAGCTGTCCCAACTTCAGCAGCTTTAATGGCTGCCTCTTTGCCGCTGGCAAAAAGAGCTTCTCCTGGATCTACCAGGGACTTTGTGATATCCCTGAGATCGACAGGATGCGCTCTTTACATTAACTGTCTCTTTGGATCTCTTTAGATCCACTTGGACCGTCCAGGAGCAAAGATATCGGCAGCGATCTCAGATCTCCAAGATCGCATGCCGTATCGTCGCGACGCCAGCTCTGCCCTCAAACTCCCAGATTTCTGGTAGAGGACCCCAATTGAGGAAGACACATACCACCATATGGGTAACCATGGATTTTGGTTTTTTAGAACTTTGCATGAATAAAATGCCTGATAGTGGGTTTTAGTTTCATCAAAAATTACACAGAACCTAAAGGATCCACTTGCTTTTAGTATTTAAGTTAATTTGTTTCATCTCTCCAGAGATGGTGTGTATTTTCTAAATACCGAGAATTGGGATGATACCTGCTAATCAAGCCATCAAACATAAAGGGCAATTATGGATCAGTGGGCCAGTAGAATAAAGCACTGACTCAGACAGGAAACAAGGAAATAAAAGTAAACTCTTGAACCTAGAAGGATTCCTATTTCAGGATCTCTGGAAGCACGTTCCTGTAACAGGTTCTTTAAAAAGATGTGCTATTTAAAATAGGTTTTTAAATAAAATCAGGTTTTCTTTAGTTTTCTTGCTTATAGAAGCACAGCTGTTCATATACAAAGATCTAAAGCTACTGATGCCTGTCTGATGTCTGATGCTATTACAGTGGTACTTAAAAGTTTGTGAATCCTATTGGATTTTCAATATTTCTGCGTAACAAATTACCTTAACTATATAAAGAAAACCCAATTAAACAAAAGAATCCAAAAAAATTACATCTGATTATTTATTTACTGAGGAAAATGATCCAAGACTACATACAGTATTTGTGTGTGGCAAAAATATGTGAACCTTTGCTTTCAAT